GTCCTTCGTGCCAGAGCCATTTTTGTGTTACCGCTCGCCTCTCGTGCGCCCCGTGGAACACGCTTCTCTCTCCGCGAACCGAGCGAATCCGTGACATTTTTTGCTTCTTTACGCGTAGTACACGAATCGTTACATCATCCCTCGGATAAAAAGAAGCATCGTGGTCCGATTCGATCACAAAAAAAAATGTGGTATTACACGTCGTCACACCAGACCGACAAATGGAAACGGAAGATAGTCGGGCCATAAATTGAAACAACAAACGAAAGTAATCAGGGAGGGGAGATATCCTTTGCGAAAAAGGCTATCGAACGAATGCGCACGCGCGATCATCGTCAATATTCGCCGATCGTTTTCGTTACTAAAATCATTTGACCGGGAGCAAGGGAATTGCGGCGATAAATAAATTATCCCCGGCGTAATCCGTGATTATTTATTGCTGTAAACAAAGCGCGGCTACGCCGATGGCGTGCACGAGGGACAACACGCGAACGGTAAAAATGGCACCGCGCATTTCACGGGCAATTTAGCGACCCGTTCGCGTCGTCGTTGGGACGGTTTCTTTTTTTCTTTTTTGTTTTTGAATTTGCTGGCTACGCAATCATCTCTCGGTGACTTTTATCTATTGACACTTTCATAACACGAGTATATATAATAATACCGCGAGAGCAATCGCGAGGAACGATAAAGACCACGAAAACGATACCGATAACAGGAAAAATACCTCAGACTTCTGGATCTGTTTAGCATAAGACGAGATCTCGTGTTATCTGGCTTATTATGAAATATCTGACTTCCCTATATAACCTGTCACCCTGTTAACCGAAATCAATATACTGTTGTTTACTTCAGTTTGCGAGGTATTATTTTTTCGAGCTAAAAGTATGTATTTCATGTGCTCGAAACATGAAATTATCTGTTTTTAAAAGCAATCACAAAAAGGGAACTATGGATAGAGAGTGAAAGGTGATCATTTGGAATCTAGAAAATGGTATTATCTACATTTTGGTGCCATTTAAACGTAACTTTTCTATTTACGTTCGATTTAACTGAGACTTTCGATTGCATCCTTTGTAAAAAGAAAAGTTACCTGATTCAAGTCGAGATCGGGGCATTTCGAGGCGCATTCCTCTTGCAGATTGGCAGGAGCAGCCCGTTCTTCGAAGTCTTCTGGCAGAAGCGCCGAGACGCTTCCCGCCAACGCCAACACCTTCAGAAACACACATAATCCCGTTGCTAACATAATATCCCCACAACCCCCCCGTTGGAACCAGCCCTCGATCACCCTCCACGGAACGCTTGCGAACAGTATCTAGCTGTCGATCGTCATTGTTCTCTCGATCCTGTCAACCGCCGCGACTTTACGATAGAATACAATGCACAGACGAAACTTCTTTCTTCCACATTCCCGCACATCGATCCGTTCGAGCTCAATGATATTCGTGACACTCGTTTTCTCGTTGCTATCCGTCGCAAGAAGCAAACGGCTGCTTAGATCGCACAGTCACTCGCAAAATCACGCACTAAACGATCACATAAACGGTCAGACGACTAGATTGACTTCTTCCGTCGAGCATCACAAGAAGATACTTCGAGAATCCTCGAAAGGATCTTTGTAAACGAACATGTATAAAACACCTTTCTCCGAGGTGTTTCTTATATCTTCCATCCAGTCTAATCGATTTTGTACTAATTATCATCCATGTGCGTTGTTCCCCAAAATTACGAGCATCCGATGAATCTTGACGATTTTGCGTCCTGATCGTGTAACAGCTTCAAACTCATCGTGCCGAGATAAAATGGTGTACACTAACACGTTTGCCGCTTGTTCACCTGATTGTCACTAAAATAATCCACGAACGAGAGTTTCCAATAGATTATGTCGCAAAGATTCCCAGTCTAACACTATTTTTTGTTTAAATTTCATTTCTGTTAGTCACCAAACGGTTCACCGAGTGCTTCCTCCGCAACAGGGTGAGTTAATGAAACAGGAAAGAAAAGAAATTCGAAATTCCCTCGAATCACCTGTGACACGTTCGAGTCACGAGGGCTCGACGCAGCAAAAGTCCGGCGTGACGTTGTTGTTAATGTCTGGCGAGCATAAGAGCAACTGACTCCGAATAGCCACTAGAGAGTCAACTATCCCCCACCACGGGGCACCCTTATCTGTTGCACTCTGGTTGACCAATTCCCTACGGTGGTGGTAGGTACTCCGGCTGGAAGCGTGCACGTGAGCCTCGTTCGCGCTACGAGACGCCCCAAGACAGGACAGAAGGGGAGGAGGAACGATCCGAACCTTTCTCTGCCCAACCAGGTCCGCCTGACCGATGGTCAATTGGCAGATTGACCTGTTCTTACTATCCTCGTAAACTTTCATTCATACATTCGCACGTGCCGTACGAATCGACCGTCCATGCTACCGGTGTCGTTGGAACCGGTATAAATCGTACAACAAAGCAAATACAGACTCGAAAGTAGTCGATACCTTTTTGAAAAAAGTGCAATTCAACGACGAGCTTTTGAGAAATTTAGCCCTTCGCCGTTGAAAGTCGATATACGGCCATATTAGTCAACCATGTCGAATTATACTTGAAAGTGATAGATACTTTTTTGAAATATGTGCAATTCAACGATGAGCTTTGGAGACGTTTAGCCCTTCGCCGTTGAAAGTCGATATACGGCCATTTTAATCTCCAATATCGAATTGTACTTGTAAGTGATAGATACGTTTTTGAAAAATATGCAATTCAACGACGAGCTTTTGAGAAAATTAACCATTTGCAATTGAAGGTCGATATATGGCCATTCTGGTCTCTAATGGCGAACTATACTACATAGATACGAATAATGTTTTAATCAAGTTTAATTCTTCCTTCACTCCTCAGAACAAGATTTTTTGTCTCATTAGAATAATATCGAAAATAGATGGTAGATTAATACCAAATAAATGAGGGTTAATACCAAACAATTTCTCAAATTTCTATATGTACAAAAAGGAGTAATAAGCGTGAAACGTGCAAACGGCGAAGTGAATTTAAATTACACCTCGACTGAAGATCACTTCGTTAAGTCAACTACCCTCTTCTCTCGCGTTAGGCTTGAGCCGCGCATCGCGGTCGGGTGGTACAAAGCAAATTCGAAGCTGAGGCTTCGAACAAATACCTCCTATATTGACGTTCCTGGGGAAGAACGCATCGTCTCTAAAAATTTCTGTACACACCCGTCAATTTGACACAACCAAGGAACCAGGCGCGTAGCCTTGTTGACAGTGCGCCCAAAAGAGAGGATGGTTCCAATGTCAACTTCGAAACAGGTTCCTTCATCTTGGAAAGAAATACCTGAATTTTTTGCTTGTCGTTAATTACTTCACGCTATATATTCGTCAACGAACAAGAACGTTCGTTCGTTTCGTACGATAGTACTACTCGTTGATTCTTTTAAACCGCAACGAAGTCAAGACACGATGACTCATTTCGACAGATTGAATCTGCGGTGGGACAAGAGGCGGTCGCTATTATTTGTGGTGCCATTGTCAAGTCGCGGTGCCACGCTTCGTCTCATTCTTCCCGATGACCCAAACGAAAAATCCCATTCTTCGACGGGACGCATATCTATTGGATCGAAGGGGAACACGTCGGTTTACCATTCCCGTTCACCGGTCTTCTCTTCGATACACACCTTTAGTTCCATCCATCATGCGTATGAAGTGAGGCTCGTCGATGAACATCCGATAACGACGTAAACATATCGTGCAATTTGAAAATAAAATTTCACTCCACCCTGAACTCGCTCCAGTCGCACGAAACACCACAGACGTAAACGCTACTCCTTCTTCGTCTATCCAGTTCGAGGAGTCGTTGGAATTCTTCAAGTTGATACGTCACGTATCTGGCACGAACGAGTGCGATAATCCAGTCTTGCGTTTTAAAGGGAATATAAAGGTGCGTAAATTCTTGAACCTGATGGAATCCCGTTACGTTGCAGTGGTACGAGTAACTCGAAATTGTTTAATTTTTAATGTCAATTTTTATAACCACAGTTCAGGCACCAGTAGCTAATACACAGGTCTTAGTTTTTATTTTTGTACTTTAGATTAAATTTCTTTTTGAAAAACATTCGTTGCCATCCGTAGACTTCCTTTAACAGAAGAAATTTCATCAGACTCACTTGAGTTTTCATGCACCGTAGTTAGCATTCTCAAGTCGCAAGGATGGATGGTAACGCCTCCGCGCAGAAAAACGAAGATCAATCGATTAACGGTGTCGCGATTACGGGTAGGCGAATTCAGAACGGCTTGTTATGAAACGACAGCGATCTGTGGCACGTTAGTTCCAACCTCAATGGTGGTTACAGGTTACCTAGGGCTTCCTGCGGAAATGGCCAATATACTCCTCCGACCTCCAACTCACTCAGTCACTCGCTCACTCGGATCGCTCCTGTTTGGTGTACCCCGTACCCATATGATCACCCTGTCGCTCGACACGTACTCGTTACGGGTCATCATCGTGATCTATGCGCCTACAACAAACGTTACATCCTTAATCTGTCCTAGCCGGGCTAATTCTACGCTCGTGCTGAACGAGAAAGTTTACGTTTATTCTTCGTCTGTACGCGGACCGGGGTCTATTTCGCGCCGCGATTAGAGCCAGTTCAGCTCGACGTGACGAGCAGACCAGGCTCTGGTGATTATCGTGCTGCAATTAAATCAGCGAGTACATTAAGGAGTTATTAACCTGTCTACTGGTTCATCTATCGAACACAGACGATCAGAAAGGAAAACAGATCAACAGAAACAGGTGATTCAAGTCTGAGAAACTCCATGAAAACAGATATTTATTTATCGTGATATTAGTGTGCGTGAAAATATAAGACATTGCGGGTCAATTTGTTTGAAATAAAAATAAAAATAAAAATGTTACCTTCTGCGCAGAAAAAAGATTAGAGTTAAGTTAATATTGGGCCTGAAAAGTGCATGTAATATAACTGTTTCTATTTATTACACATCCCTTTAATCGAAAACATTCAGAATATATATTTTCAGTAATATATTTTAGACTTTACAAATATAAGAAATTTGATCAACGAGACGAAATGAATGAAAAGGGGCAAAGATTTTGAAACTACGATTGTATTATATTGTTACACATACGGACAGATTTGTGGCCTAATTAGAAAAACGATGTTTCGTAGTGTGCAACGAACAGTGTCCAATTAACACGTGCTCGTGATTCGTCGTTTGTTTTGCATACAACGTAATTGTTTGACAAAAGGAGAGGATCTTTTGTATACGACGTCTAGACGGATAGTACAAGGGCTTACCCTGCTTTACACGATACGGCAACAATTCGGCTCTATTAGGCCAATAAAGTGTATCAAAGAGGAGGAATGCGCCCCGCGTCAATCGTAAATGTAATGTCGGTTTGTCCGTCTGTGTACGGTGCTCGGCTATGCGGGGTGCGGGTGGATGGGTAATTTAGATTGAACCGTACGTTAGAAAGGATGGATGAATGAATGATTAGAAAAAGAAGGATAATTTTACATTTCAGAGAAATGTAGAAACAGGCTCCCATTTCGCAACAGCTTATATTTTCTAAAACAATCTGAACAGGTTTTTTGAAGTAGTCGATTTGCAGGTATTACGGTTGTGCTGAATTAAACAACATTTATTGCATTATTTAGTAATATTTATTTAATACTTGGGTGCACTTCTATATACATTTGCCGTTGTCTCTTATATCCTTCAGAAAAATATTGTTTAACACACAGAGTATTCCAAAATTTAAAATATATTCGCTGGAACATGAACAAAAACAGCGGAACAATGTTTTCTATAATAAGTTTTTCTTCGTGAGAATGTTCATCTTAATAGGAAAAAGCTATTCGTGGTTCGTGGAAGTATTTTAAGTGTTTTCAATACGCAACCCTGTGTTGTCTATACATACATAAACATTTATATGCAGTATGTACAAACATAACTTCTGTAATTAATCGACGCAAGAAGAGAATTATTGAAGGTGTTTTGTGTTACAATGACCTTTGAAATAATTATATGCGATTTGATATCTATATGATTTTGTTTCACGTTGCCAACTTATGCAATTCTTGTACGCTATGAAAACATATATGCGTTTACGATAAAAATAATTATTCATAATTAATAAAACGTGCAAGTATTCGAAGAACAAAGTTCAGCTCGACCAATCCTATGTAGTTTTTAATACTCCTCGATAATAGTTATCTTCATCAGAAATTAATTCCGACTCGATTATATTGTTCGTCTCACACTTCATTAAAAGTTACACGTATATATTATACGTTAATTACTTAGAAGTATATTTAAAATTTCTATACTTACAGATGTATAAATCTGTACATATTACTGAACAATGTAAGTTGGAATATGCTGTAATTTATTGGTACGGTTTTCAGTGCATTTATTTAAAAAAAAACAACAAAATCCAGTTTTACAATCGCAATAAGAAATTCATACACTATTATTTTTCATAGACGTTCATTTTTCATGAACGTAATTTTTTAATTATTTTTATTGTACATTTACTTTTTTATTTGAATCGAATAGTGTTGAATGTTTAGTTAACAATCATAGAATTGATAATATATAGATAAAAACTTATGACTTGAATTCACCGCCAGAGGGTACTACCTCCGGTCTTACAACACGTATTTAACGAAAAATTGCAACGAAAAACTATATTTAACTTTTGTTTTTAAACCAACTTATAGTTTCAATGTATACACATCGAACGATATAAATATACGTTAAACCAAATTATTGCTAAATTGATAATTCCATAAAACCATAAAAACGATCATAGAAACTGATCACGTATCATGAGAACTTGTATGAGTATAATTCAAGATGGAAGACGGTGACAATAAAGCCGACGTTGGGCTGGATAAAGAGAAAAAGTCGTACGCCGGGATACCGGAGGCCGATTTTGTAGTAAGTACAATATCACGATGAAAAATTCTTATTACATTTTATTATAGGATTATTGTTATTCGAGAAACTCGTATATTTGAATTACATGTTGTGACAATGAATGTTTTTACGATTTAGTAATCCTCATGGCTTCCAGTAAAAATTCTATCAAAAAAATGTAGTAAAAAGAATTATTGGTAATGTTTCGACCCATTGTTATGTTTTGTGAAAAAGATAGTTTAGATTTCGGATTTAAAATCTCAAAATACGTTGAATATACTTTTTTCTCAATGCACACCTTATATGGTAACAAAAGAAATAGACACCATGATATTTAAATTCTCTGTAAAGTGAATGTTATTCTATACGTAATTTTTTAACCGTAGGACGATGTCGACGCATTTATGGCAAAACCCGACAATAAATCAGCAGATAAAGTACTCCAGATGTTGGATGAGAACCATGGAAAATATAAATTCATGGAATACAACTTGGTTAATAAGAGGAGACGGTTGAAGGCACAGATTCCAGACCTAGAGAGATCATTGGAAATGATTAAAAAACTACAGCTAGAGAAAGACAACAGCAAAGATTTAGAAACTCAGTTTCTTCTATCTGAACAAGTTTATGCAAAAGCTGTTATTCCACCTACTGACAAAGTGTGTTTGTGGTTAGGAGCAAATGTTATGCTAGAATACACTTTGGATGATGCACAAGAAATGTTAACGAAAAATATTGAAGCTGCAAAAAGAAATTTAGGATATGTGGAACATGATCTAGACTTCGTCAGGGATCAGTTCACAACAACAGAAGTAAATATGGCACGTATTTATAATTGGGAAGTGAAACGCAGGCAAGCAGCTACAAGCAAACCAACATGAAATCTATTTCCTTTTAAAAATTTAATTTGCACACAACAATTGCCTAAGACCCAAAAGGTAATTATTCTAAAATCCTGAAAATATAATACTTGGTTTCTAGTGTGTAATGTTTTTGCAATGTCATATTTTTTTTTTACTTTAGGTTACTTACATTGTCAAGAAATACACCTGTGAATAAAAAATGCTATCTGGAAATGTCAATGGAATAAAGGATTCAAATATCTTTAGGTTATAAGTTAGATATACCAATATTTATGTATATTGCCACAAATACATCTGAATTCTAACTTAACATGTTGTTTCACATACTTGCAATGAGATCTCTTCACTATATCTATATATCAAACTTAAGGTTTGATACTTCTGTGAATAAGAAAATATACACAACTTGTATAAAATAAAAAAGTAATAACACTAATCATAGAAATATCACATGAAACAAAACTAAGTTAAATTAGTTTAACCATTATATCTACTTCATCATATCCTACTTTTTATATTTTGATTACAAACTGTTGTACGTTTGTAGATACATTTAATTTTGTTAAAGAACAAATATGAAAAGTATCAGCTATACTTTTGTGAATATGATTAAAAAAATAGACTTATGATTAATGGAATTTGCAAAATGGAAATTAATTTATCTTATGACCTAAAGTGTCCTCAAGTTGGTTGGTATTTCTATTGTAAGGCACATTGTCTAACTTCCAGCGAAAGTCAGTCTCCAACAGGGTCCACTTTCGTGTTATAATTTAAAATTTTATGATTAATTATTCTGCATCGTCATCTGCTTCATACTTCACTAGTTTTGCCTTTAGCTCAGTAACCTTAGCTTTAGTTTCGTCCAGTTCTTTCCTTAGTAAGTCCATTTCAATATCAACTTCTGTGATACCTCCAAGATTTTGACGAATATAACTATTACACAATTAAGAAAAATACTTGGCATACCCAAAACATGCTTAACCAATAATATTTCTGCTACTACATTTGTTTAATACTTAAATTTCAACAAAAGGATACTCTAAAGCATCATCAGGTTTCTCTGTTTGTTCATACAAAGATACAAGTACCTTTGTAAGTGCATCCATAACACCTGCTCTTTCGAGGTACTTTCGAAACTCTTCTCTCTTAGAATCAGGAGGCTAAAACAAAAAGTCATATATAAATTACAAACATGGGAAAATACTGAAATGTTTAATAATGTAGAACTTAGATATATTTATATGTATAAATTATATCTTCATAAATTTCAATAAACATGTGACATGCAATAGACAAATTAGGATAATATTACTGAAAAAATCATTTTAACGATATTCTGAACAAATCTTTAAAATTCATTCATTTGTTTCATTCATTAACGTAAAATTTTTCATGTTAAAAAAATATTACCTTCATATTCGACATCTTTTGCCGGGTTATAATTCTGTAACTATTTTATCACAATATTTATAAATTCGTACAATAACAAATAGTGCAATGCAAGTTTAGTAGCACGTGTTTGTCGAATCACACGATCGCATAAATAAGTAATGAAGCTCGATCGGAACAAAAGCCATATCACATATGCGATTTTCAAAACAAAACGTATGTTCAATGCTTTCATCGGGAGATAAAATTACTTACCATTATGTGATTTAAATGTAGCGTGTAGCAACAAAAGGAAACGTTTCCTTTACTTCGATCTGTTATTACCGGGAATTCTTCACGAACCTCACGAAACCTCTGTATCACTCTATAGTAAACTCCGAATGTCACGATAGTTTACTTCGACTGACAACAGCACAGTCAAAATAGTCTCCCGCCTTCACTGAAGGCCGTCACCATTTTGAATTTTTACGTACTGCAACAAACTTGGAATGATTCCAAAATATATTATGTTTTACCAAAGTTCTATTGATTAATTAAAATTACACAAATATTTCGTATAAACGATTAATACGATATTTATCGTGTCTGTCGGTTAGGAATTTAGCTGAAATAGACTCTAACATAAGATATTATGATCCTGAACACGGTATATCATGGTATGATAATCCAAAATGGCAGATCTTTGTTTATATCAGTTTATATATAGAGTACATATACTTCGTTCTGTATCCATTAACTGAAGAAGAATTAATAAAAAGAGGTTTTTAAATACTTTTTATAAGGCTGTTGTAATGATTTTTGGAAAAAAAGAAGTTTTTATGAGATTGGTTTTGACTGTTGCTATTAGTATTTGTTCAATTATTGGCGATCAAGGTTTAAAGAATGGAAAGAGTACTGTGTCACGCGCGATATTTGATAATATTACTCATGCAATCGTCGGTGGCCTTACTTGGGCAGTTATTTTAAACTTGTCAAAAAAGTCTCTCACACAATACTTTCCGAGTATTGTTTGTTGCTTTCTTTTGTCGTCTTTTATTGACGTAGATCATTTCATAGCAGCGTGGAGCTGGAAGATAAATGTAAGTGATGTCATCGTCTTTGTTCTGACAACGCATTAATGTTATTAGTAATAATGATAAAAAAATTGTTCCTTGATAAATTTCGAAAATCATTTTGATAAGTATCTAGTAATTGAAAATATATGTGTTTTGTGCAAATAATATCATTAGATTACTATACTTTACTATAAAATCTTTCTTGTGTAAGTATTTGTTTTATTTTTAATTCTGTACTCTTTTATAGGATGCTACACACTTGGAAAAAAGACCATTTTTGCACTGTACTACGGTTCCTATAGTGCTCTGGTTTTTAATGAATTTTTACTCAAATGTATTTAATTATCCAAAACTCAGTTATTACTCTTGGATAGTTCTGGCAAGTTTTTTAAGCCATCACATACGTGATGGCACACGGAGAGGTTTATGGTTCTGTCCTATAGGTTCAACACAACCTATTCCTTATTATCTGTATTTAAGTATGAGTATGATGCTTCCACACATTTTGCAATGGCTGATGATACCGCTTGAGTATGAATCCAAAACATATGAAAATGTTACGTTCGTTGGTATTGTGTAAATACTGTAAAGAAATATATATCTAATATCCTTGTATATATATATATACATATATACAAATACTTTAAGTATACTTGCATCCATTTTGCTACTAGAATGGACGAGAATATAAAATATATTTTTTGTATATTTATACTTTTTAGAAAAATATTACATGAATATTGTTAATATTATTGATTTTATTTACAAGATTTAAGAAAGATTTGTTATACAAAATAGTCACTTATTATTTATTTTTATAAATCATTGGAATATAATAAAGTCTGACAATGTAATAATACTACTACAGTTATTCATACTTCTACTTTCAATTTCATTCGCACATTTTCTCAACTGAACGACCGAAAAGTGCAGAATGTTTTTCCATCCATACATATATTTTAAAAATCATAGTTTCTAGGTCTCCATTCCCTTGTGCATCCGTTACAAATTTTTGATAACTAAAGCAATCAAGAACGTAGGTCTTAATCAACACTGTCGACTTACAGTAAGTTCGTCCTCGAACACGGAGACTTGTGTAACGAAAAGAAACAAGTTTCTTACGTGCGCGATGTTTACATAGCTCTTTTCAAAGACAGGTGTTCTAAGTAGAGTGTCGTTCAGAACCTACCAGTGTATCGTGTCTTCGTCTACGTGACGGGTCGTCGTTTGGTTTTGATACAAGAATTAAACGATACCCACGTAAATCGTGTCGCGTGTGGCACCTGATCGGTGAACGCGCGGAGGTCGCGTATACCCTTGCAAGAAGTCAGCCGCGCGCACGCACGTGTGTACGTATACACCTACCACAGCCTGGAGGGGTTTATCAGCATTCAGCATTGCTTTGCTGGCACTGTTACACACTTTACTTCACTCTCGTCTCGGTCTCATATAGTGTTCATTTACCTAGCCACCTATTCCGCTGAAAAACGACGCAAACGATCGAGTGTCTGGCTCCAGAAAGTAAGGACCTTGGGACCGGAAGTTCCAAGCGTGTTATTATCTTCGGAAGTCTTTCGTGTTTTCGCTGCAATGGTATTTAATTTATCCACGAGGAAACTTACTTTAACGCCGCTTAACACGCCGTTTCGGTGATTAACCATCGAAGGAATATACACATTTATGTTCCACTGAAGAATCACTAGTGACCCTACCCCGTGTTACATCGTCAGTGGTTTATGGTGATACACTAAAGACTTGTCATGCTATACAATTTTTTGTATCGGATTTAAGGAAGAATTCTACATGGAAGTATGTCGATTTCGCTGAATACGTGGTCTACAATGTCACTAGATTTTCGCAGATATCAAATCCGTAACGATAACGCGTTGATACCGATATCTTGATTGTGTACACCAGTTCAGTATTGTCTCCGGAGGGGTCCCGTGTCGCTCTTACTCTATACATATATTCACAATGGTGAGTACACGAAGAGTTCTACCATTTTTTCTATCATTGTATCTAAACACATTCGTGGTCGAAATTGTCGTGGTTCCCCGACTGCGGGTTCGATGGAATTATATTCGTCTATCCTCTATGAGCAGAAATAAACAAAAAATGGTATACAAACATAAACTTACCCAGGACTTATTAAAGAAAACTGGCTATGTTCGTGACACTTATGACATGCTTAATCATTACATTTCACTTACATAACTTGTTACCTATATTTCAGCGTTGTTCAATATTGAAAAACAAGTGCATCTTGTCAAAATTGTTATTCTATGCTACACACAATGTTTTCATTATTACTACCGCAAATTCAACGCAGATTTCAAACATTCACAGTCTATACAAATTAGGAATTGCATCATTCTCCAAGAATATATTGGTCGCAATTCCTTTTCTTGTTACTCTAATTAAGAATGAGTTTTTGTAAATTATATATTCATTACAATTATTCTTAATATATATTAGAACAGTGTGAAGACCCTGGGGCAACGTATGTACATAGATTCAGGATTTGAATCTTAAGTCCGACAAATAGATGAATTAACCATTTACTACTGGTTCCACTCAGCACGGACATATCCATTTCATCGAATCACCCCCAGACATTCTCGTGAATAATGTTATTATTCTATATAACTCCGTTTTGCGTGATTTCCAGTTTGCGAGTGACTAATCAGAATTAGATGTTGATCGTAGCACGACGCAACGTGTTTGTGCGAGTGCTTTCACAAGGATCGAGGCTAATCATAGACCCGTAATAAAGCTTGTTTTGTAACACTAATTACGACCACTCGAGCGGTCGCCTATTAGAGATGCAACTATGTGCCTTCAAGGTTGGCCTGGCGCAAGAAGAATCACAGAACTATGCGATGAAAGCGATCTGCGAGGCGCGTAAACAATTCTATGCAATTTGCGTAGGAAAAGGTGTGATTGACCGGCTACACACCGATTAAGTATATACCGGTCGTGAGTTCCCCGTTCGAATTTATTTACAGGGCCAAGATGAACGGCCTCGTGAAAATCCTTCTTCCTCCGACCGGCTTGTTTGTTTGCCCCTTTTCGGTCTGTTGACATCCGCGTTAAACGCGAGTTGCGAAATACTGGTTCGAGGAAGCGTAAAGCAGTCGTACGTGACGAAGATTCTTTCACATTCTTGCATTCTCATTTCGCGTCGCGGACATTATATCGACGTCTATTCTTTCAAGACGCCAATGTCTATTGCCACATTGAGAATCCTTTGAAACGCGGTTATCGTTCTGTGGAAATCTATACAATAGGTTCCGATCGATTGTTTCGTTTAGCGATGAAGGATAAACTGAAACAGTTACTTTAGATGAGCCTGGATGAGTCATGCGAAAGATAAAGAATTTTCTGTTGATTAAGCCGTTTAATCTAATTTTTGGTTTGGTTTTTAAAGCATTACGAGATACAAGGAATCTTAGGTATCACAGTTTACGTTAACCGATAGTTACGGTATTGCAATTACTTTATATTACCGTGAAAATAAATGACAACGATGCAGAAACGATAAAATTACTTATCGTGTTTGTCATCATTTAATGCTATTCGTTCAATCTTCCAGGAAAACGATGAGCTAGTGCTGTATTTCGCTATAGCAGGTGGAGTCATCGCTGGTTTTCTATTACTTCTGTTCATTTTGGTTTGCATACTCTTTGTCAAACTGAATCGATTAGCAGTCGACGGGTGAGTACTATCTTTCAGAAAAAAAAAATTAGAATTTTTTAATTTATTTTATGCACGCAAAACTCCACCTCCGTCCCCTCAACCTAATGTTTACTGATTTCGTGAAGATCCTATTGAGCTTTGCTTCGAAACAAACCGCGCGGAAGGCTTTGCTTCTTAAAATACTTTATTACGAAGTATTTCTTTTTGTTTTTTATAACATTTGATGCATATTCTTATTACAATTGTGGGTATCAGTTGCATAGCCGACGTTTCGTTTAATTGGGACGAGCCACGTTCTCGACGATGTAGACCAAAAATCGGGATATGTCACGTAAGATTCACACAAACACACACACACATGATTTTCAGATTCACTGGCTTCTCGAATATAGACGGTGTAGAAAGCAGTTAATAATTCGTGACTCACTCTGCTCGTCGTTGATATCGTATCTTTACCGCGACGCGATTGTTTAGCTTATCTTGTTAGAAGAATGCGAGATTGGTACAGGAGTTAAGAGAGGCTTGCACGCGACCAGATCTTTTTTTTATAATTATTTTCCGACTTAAAGAATCTTTTATTTAACTCTTTGCAGCACGATCCGTTAGTTACCGATACGTTCGATTTCACGAAAGAAACAATATTTGCTATAGTTTAATAAGTCTATCGTTGTTAAAGAAAATCTTTGTAGATCTTCCATTAGAACTGCAAAGGGTCAAAATAAAATCTTGTGGAAACGATCTTGAGCTGTTTGTTAAATACAAAATTGCCTTTTACTATCACTTATTTGTATTTAACGAAAGATTGCTTTAATACGTCGATGGATTTCTTTTAGGTCCAATCAATTAAATAGACAAACGAGTATGATGGCAGAATTTTGTTACACGAATCCAACGATCGTGCCTGGCGAACTGCTCTCTCGTCGTGGTTTCTCAATGTACAGTGGTTCGGAAAACATTAACGACGACTACGGGACAAAGAGTAAAGATTATTACGGAACATATAACGAGTCACGATCAAGATTTTGACAGGGAAATGTCATGAAACGACATCGAAAACGTGTTATTCATGTAACATCGACAATTATACTCTGTGTTACTTTATAAAGTATACGACTCGCGTAAATTTAATCGTTAAATCATCTGCCATATAATTTATTTATCAATACATATATACATAATTATTTATGTAAAAGATCGTTATCATTTATGTTATTGTGTTGAACACATCTAAAACACTACGGCAATTATGTAATGTAACATTACAATTTTATAAATTAAGGATAATGTATATAACGATTGAGAGAATCATGCTTTCGAAATAGTTCATTCAATTCTGAACAGATGTCGCCACGTACCTTAGATCTATCCGCTCCCGACAGACCGCCAGATACAAATGTCAGAACTGCACGTGTTGATAACAGGAGGCATGAACAGATTATAAAAGTTCTGTAGAGTAAGTAGATTATAATGAACTATGTACGGTATACATTTCCTAATATCCTCAATTATTTATTTTACATTAACTATCGACATTGATTGGAATCGTATTGAGTCGCTAGACGACTATTCGTTCTGTTTGTAATTTATATTGTTCATAATAAATATTAATACGTTACATATTCTTCTCTTCGTTACTTTTTTATAGCGAATGATAGTGAAACTCCAGTTGAAGTTCCTTCAAATGAAATACCTACAGCCCCCTTGAAATCGATCCAATTGATCGACTCATCAGAATCATTTATGGCGACTGAACAGTAAGAAAGCATACCCTATATATGTATATTCTTTCGTTAAGATGAAAAATCACGAAGATTATATTAAATAAAACTCTACTTTCGCACATATGGTATTAATTTCAAGATGACGATGGCTCAGTTGATCACTTTAAACCTTAACGGGGGGTCTTACCGTGCTATCATTCACTAAATTCCTAAACGACGTGTGTGTTCCAGTAACTGCTCCCTTGCTATCCGGTATCACCTCCTGAAACTCAACACCACCTCAGCGTCCTACACCTCAGAGCTCTCAAATCCACCATCCCCGAGTCACAAGACGAACAATCGATGAATGAAATCCGCGTGGTGGCTGAAGGACCATGAAAACTATCCAGGAAAAATCGCTAGTTGCTAGAGGGGTAACGACGAAAGTCGTTGAAGATGAAGGTGAAATGTGATAACGTCTTCGTCGTCTACACATCAGGTTAGTAATGGGGGTACCGAGCTACTCACAACGAGAGCACACACACACACACACACACGACCGGTAGAAATCGGTGCGTTTGTGGCCAGGTACCGTTGCGGGTCGCTTTTAGAGGCGGAAGTGGAGCATCTTCCGGCCCGATACAACGCAACATCGTCGGAGTGGGTGGCGATGAGGACCCCGTTTGGGGTAGGGATACAGACGATGCCACGGGGAGTAGGCAATAGCATGGGGATAGGCCGTAATTGGTATAAAATCATCGAGCAAACACATCGGACAAGACAGCCTGAGGGTTGTGGGCGGCGTTACGTGCCGTTGCCCTGGTTACCGCGGGGCGAATCTGCTAAAGCACCCCTTCGCCTTGATTGCGCACAGGCCCATCCCCCGTACGTATGTACCACCGTTCTCTACGTGGTGCGTATATGCAAGGGGGATCCTCGTGTGTGTTCGTGCACGTATACTTATCCCGCGAAAGCACGCCACCTGGCCTCTACATGCCAGGTTTATGATACGCGTATACACACGGAACACCGCGGCAAACCACCTCGTGTGCGTGGAACTATCCGTGACCGGTAGCGTACAGGATCGTTCGGATACCATGCTCCGAGAAACATCTCTAGGAAAACATTCCAGAGATTTTGCATGCGTCACATTGTCAGGAATTTTTATCGGGCTGTTGCGGTCATCGTAGAATTTGGGTTACCTGTTCGTTGTATTCTACGATAATGCTTCTTCAGAATGAGTTCAATTTTTAACGTTTTCCGACCTGAATTATTCTTTTCGAAACAAAAAAGAAACATGTTTTTTGCATAAAGTTATTGGATGTCGGAAAAATAGGAGAATTAAACAAAAAATGAAATAGACAAGAAAAAGGAAATGTCAATAAACAATTCCTAAGTATTATTTTCAAGAATGTAGATATCTAACCTGAGAAGATTAAACTGTATGATACTATGCCATATTGAATCTTCAAGCTCATAATCAGTTATAAATGCTATGTAAATTAATGATTTAAAATGGAATCCTATGACCGGAAAGGGTTAAGAAAGCGATAACACAATTTTAAGATACATATTCTCTTAATATTTTGTTCGACAAAGATGACGTAGAATGTTCGGGAGATAAGGGTGAGTATTGTTTAGGTAGCACAGATTTTCCTTTAAATCGCAAAGGTCCTAAAGCCTGAAAGAAAATTGTTCGAGTCCCCATGATAATAAGCGAATATCCTTCTCCCCTATGTAGATATACTTAAGTGTTTCCATTGCACACGCAACTTGTCGAGTGTTTAGCTTAACCGCACCCTGCGGATCTCCGTTTATGTTCCTAATCGGACGGGATTACGGATAGTTTCGCTCTGCCGCTCATAAACCGTGGCACGGGACATATGTTGTTCTTTCAGCATCCAGTCGCGCCATAGAATGTTGATCTTTCGTCCTGTTCGTAAAACATAATAAAATGCATTGCACGTGTCATTAAGAAGCTCAATCTGTCTAATCCTAAAAAAAAAATCCATCTATGAGTAGATCGATATACTCACTGTTAGTTTATACCGTAAATATATCAAAATACAATCACGTTTCCTGCTTTTATTAAATAAAACAGAGAAGCTAATAAAATTTTCTTGTCTTTGCACAAAACGTATACGAAGATTAATCGAAAGAAAATTCAATTTATGGACAACTACCTCCTACAGAAATGTCTCGAAGAAAAAAACACAAGATCACGGTTTCTTCACCGAACTTGTTACTCGAGAGATCTGATTAAATCATTCAATTCTTTCTACTGTCAATTTCTCCCAATTTCACTCGAAGAAGAGAGTATTCAGTTCCTGGAATCATCTCCCATAGAGTGTAAGGATATTCCAGATTAGGGGTCAAAAAGCAGCAGCTCCGTTGTCCGATTTCCTCTTCACAGGATTCGTCGGCTTAATCGTCGGTTGCGTCCCGATGTGAAACACGGACGTGGCCGTTGGCAAACGGTGTGTGCATCCCGCGACGAATGATCGCACAATTTCACAGAATCGTAGGCTGCTGGGTCGCATTCACCGGCCGAAGAATTTAACGAGGCGCACGCGGCTCTCGCCCTCCTCCGGGGGAGGCGATCGCCGTTCCAGTCACACACGCCCGATAATAGTAACCCTCGGTGAACGTTGAACACCCTTAGACACTGTCCTCGTTACACACCAACGTCATCGACGATGTATGTATATTCATAAACCTGTCCACACGTCCATCCGAACGGGACGAAGTCAATTCACGTGATCGCTTGCCAAGCTTCTTGCGAACTGCCGGCGTTGATCGTTTAATTGCAAAATTTATTCTCATTGAGTTTGATAGTTAACAATAATATACAAATATTAATACGTATTGTAAATTAGGGTAACTTTGATTCAGTCAGGGTAATTATGTCCTATGTCAGAAAATGATCGTTTTCGATTTTGCAGGTCTGAAAATTGTTAAATTAAATTGATCTTCACGTAAAAGATACCTGCAAATGAGCTGGAAAATCGAAAATGATAATTTTTTTATTTCGGGACAAAATTACCCCTGGCTGAGTCAAAATTACCCTAACTTACGATAATTGAAATCAGGAGCCTCTTCTTCAATATTTATAATACACAGACAGTCCACTTTTTAAATTCTTTAGTCGATATTCTTGTATCTAGACAGTAATTTTGTCAATCTTTGGTTCACGTAACAAAAACTTGTTTCACAATCATGATTGAAAATGCTTGAAGAGAGCTGAACCTCAGAATTCACAAATATTGGAAATGATCTTTGGATCAAAGTGTTTTCCTCGTCGTTCGAAGAGACTTTGAATCACGAGGATCGTGGAACTGTGCTCGCAGGAGATCACTCGTCTCGTGAAACCTGTCTTTTTAGACGTCCTGTTTAATGGCGGAGCGAGGCTGACGGCGATTATAAAGAGGCACGTGCCTCTCTTCATGAGCGACCCCATGCTGACAAGCACGCGACCACCGAAAGCTAACCCAAGAATCGCACAAGGCGCAATTAATTTATTGTTCGTGCCGGCCTAGTGACAATTGGGCGAACGACGGGGAAAAACAGGATCGTTGTTTTCTTCTGTTTCGTCGAAGGGTGAGACGGGACCGGATGCTGGGACGTGATCCTCCGTTACGCTTTTGTCGCCAGGTTAACCAAACGATTTGTCCTGTGCGGTATGTCTTCGTACGATTTTGCTATTGTTGTACACGCTGTCGAGTTACTCGACACACTCTGATCACATTACTTACTCACTGGATGATTTACTTTTATTAATTAACGCGTAGTATTATTTTACGGTACATAAGCACCGAAGATATTGTACTGGGTCGACCGAAAAGTTCGTAGCGTTTTTAAGGACGGACTTACAATCTATATTTTTTAATTTATATCATATTCTTATTTACTACTTCTTATACAATTTCTTTCCATTTTTTAATGAATTTCGTTGTATCAGTTATATATAACTTCGATCGTACTGGCTAAAAAACTCTTCAATCCTTCAAGACGTTCTCTCTTGATACAGAATATTGTAGTGATTTAAGGAATAATTATCAGATAGGGCAAAGGCTAATTAATTTGGTAGATGTTATAAAATCTTCCAGCTGAAGTTGTGTAATTATCCAAGTTTGACAGGGCATATTGAAAATGAACTTTGTGATTATTTATACGTCTTGTTGGTATTCCTCTCAGAAAGAAAAACAATAACGACGAATAACTTATATAGCAAATACATACAACTCCTGCCTAGAGAATAGTATATATTTACAAAACGATTTTTCCTTCGTCCAGTAAAAATATAACAAAGACATTGTGCTCGAAACGTTACGAAGTTTTCGGACGACCCAATAGAACACAAAAATTCTAGACATTAGATTATCTTCACAAATTTATTCTTAGTTCTACAGATAAACATTTTCGAATCTTCCGTGTGTAAAATCTCTGGAACGTTGTAAAAAAATTGCAATCCATTATTATACCTAATTCATCGTGTTGCCACAACGAAAATTTCGTTATTATTCTATTTTTGTCCCTTTGATTGATTCCGCGCCTTATAAATATCATCCTTATCAATATTTATCTTTGATATTTGTGAATATTTAAGCTTAATAACATGTTAACAATTTCACGAAGACGCGACTATTATCGAACGATTATTTCTGAGATGACAACAGAAAAATTTCATTTTTCCATGTTAAATAAGGTTTCGAAATATATTTGTCGAAGGAATTTAGTGGTTTTAGGAGAGATGTAAATCGTGTAACGGGCCTGATCAGGATAACAGAGGGGGAATACTTTCGACGCGCCCATATGTATCGGCTTAATCTCCATAATTTAGTGGGGAGGAAATTTGTTTCGGCACTCTCGGTAACGCTATCTGCTTTTCACGGGTACCTGCGGGGGAACAAATTGAAGGTAATGGGGAATTCCCACCGATGAATAGAAAATCCCACCACCTGTAAACCGGCGACGGTCGAATAGCCTACAAGCAGGTATTCAAAGTGCAAACATTAATAGACCATTCAGAAAGCATTCACTAGCAAAATTACTCGGAATGATTTCTAACAGGCACTGGCCCCGGATGAGTCAGTGACGAACAAGTGAAAGACTCTATTCAACAATCACCAAACAATCACGATACATTTGATTAACTACATATTATTTTTTGTTGAACGGAATTTGAGATTTGTTTTAAGATTCGATTAGTGTCTCGAAAAATAATAATTGAGCCAATCTGATCAATTTCACGAAATACAAAGTAGAGGAATTAAATACATTAATCAGATTATTTGAATTTAACTTACCAGTATATTAATATTATTATAATGAATTGTTTAAAACATAAGTTTGATAACTATTGATATTCCGTAATTTACGGAGAGTTGATCACTTCGGCTTCCGAGAAAATAAATTTGTCAGAAAACTTGGAAATTGCTTTTCTATAAATGGAAAGAAACAAAATATCTATTTGTTCAGAGAAATTTAAGAATTGTCCCGATTACATCGAGAACAAACATTATTCTCTCTGAATAAAACCTTCTGTTCAACTGGTTTATTCCCAAAAGTGGGTTTTCTTTCGATAGCAATTCCGATTCAACAACTCCCAAAATATGGGTCTACTTGGCTAAAAGAGGATCTTTTCAATGAACATAGTATGGCAATGATCCGAATTTCGTCAGAGGAAAATATGACTATATTTTTCTCGCACAGGTATGCAGCGCGCGCCAATACTTTTACAATATTTACATCGCTTACAAGTCTAATTATCGTACAACGCGGCGTAACCACTCTACGGAATTGTAACCGCGTCTCAATTTACACCGATATAAATAATAATTAAGATTACAATGTGTACACACGTTTTATCATACACGCGGGTTAGCTTCGTACGTCACTAAAACTTTTGTTTATTATATAAAATACTTCGATGATTAAGTGTACTGGAGAGACACGTCCAGGATACGTTTATGTACAAGAATTTCGAAGGATATCTCGATCCTTCGCGAGCATTGAACGTGCTCGAATAAAAATATAACAACGTGTCCGCACACACGTTTGTGTGATTTTGTTGTTGTTGTTTCTGTTCCGATAAGAATGGCGTGTAATTTCTTTGGTCGGTTGGCACAAGCACCGGTCAGTCTTCGGATCTATGATAGAATTATCGAATATGTACAACGTCCTTAAGCGCTACGACGACTATCGTCATTTACACGGCCTACGATTATGTACATCGCGCTACGCTGCCATCTTGAGAAACAATTCGATGTTATTTTCCGATATTTTCGTTCTTTTTTTTCCTGTTTATTTACAGAAGCAACGCTTGTAAAACCACAGGATGAGCCACGAAACGTGATCAGCTTACAATTAGATTATTCTACTGGTAGCTGTTCGATCGAAGATTTGTTTGGATTCTCATGCAGTTGATGGACGCCGCCATTTTGAATATCGTTTGAATACATAGCAAAAAATGATACCTTACCAATTGATTGTTATTAATATTCATAAATATATTTTAAATAGATAGAGCTGAAAAAGAGTCTTAACCTCTTCAAGGACGAATTTAGTAAGACCAGAAAGAATATTTTTCTTATTCTTCGATCGTATCAACCAATCGGTAGGATATCCTTTTTGGTTAGGGAATTTCCTAGTGAATATTTAATTACAGTATCCTATTGATGCTTCAATGAAAGAAAAACTAAACGGACACATACGTGCCAGTATCCCTTAAGAGGTTAATAATTTGTCCTTGAAGAGGTTAAGGGAAATGATATAGTCTTAATGTTTCTTTCGTGTAGAAGACAAAAAATTACTTGTTACGATGCTTGCCGATTTCGTCTCAGTATTCGCTAAAATATGGACGTAAAAAAATGATATGTTTATCTATAAAAAAAAACCTGAAGATGAGCTTGAAAATTCTGAAGAAAAAGGGGTGGCAAAAAGTTTAGGACAATCATCTGAAAGCTCCTCTTGAATTATGTTATAATAATTAAAAAAATGTTCGATCGAACAGCTATCGGTAGAATAATTTAAGCTCTTCACGTTTCGTGGTTCACCCTGTTGGCAGACTTTCGTTTGCTACAGAACACACTTTCTTTTGCGCATTACTTAACGTCACTCAACAGACAGGTACTTCCTTGTCCACGTCGATAGCAACAGAATTTCGTTTAATCACGTCCAGCGTGAATTCCACGGCAATCTTAACCCGTCGAGCTTGAGAGATTCTTCAGAGAATTATTATTCGTCTCTACGATCGAATTTGGCTGGATTCGACAATATCCCACTCGAATCGCCTATTCGAACTCGACTATGCCTTTCGTCTACGTAGATTCTATTTAAATTAAGAAAAACCGCGACGATATCGATGGAAAATTCTAATTAAATATACGAAGCATATTAGGAGGCAATCGACGATAATTCACACGACGTATTTAGAGAATATCGTCCGTAATAAAATACTCACACGAGGATATAAATAACAGATCGAATTACGAAAACAACGCTTAAGGATATGCTTATCGTTCGTATCGTGAACCGAAATCGAATCTTGTTCGCGGACATGTTTCACACGATACTAACTCATTATCAATGTTTAAATAATTACCATTATATCGTAACGTTACCACAAGGCTCGTTAACTTCGGTACGCTTCGAACGAAAACTCGACGTACCATGATATGTGAATAAAGTATACGCAACAGATCTAACGACGATCGATCAATATAGAACGTAGGTGGTCAATCACTCTTCTCTGCTCCGAAAATAACTCTCAGACGCTGTCCACTTCATCAACGTATTAGGTGCACCAACTCGATAATGAAATTACAATAATACAGAGTCAGACATCAGAATAATCGCTAAATTCAGGGAAAGAAGATTACTCGTTGATACATCTAATACGTCGACTGTACGTCCATCCTTAATAACGGCCACTTTCTCATAGAACTCGACCCCATAGATCGATTCACTATCCCGCGAGAACTTCTCAGAAGTCAAACATCTCCCTTCATCCGACACGATCGACGCACCTCGTTTACTCATTCCACCCTCATCCCCCGACACAAATGATTGTACGGAGTCACGTAAGCAACAGGGGCCACTGGCGTGTACGTCCTCAAACCGGCACTCACCTGATGCACCTGTCCACCGTCTTGTGGCTCGATCACGTTACCGTATTGTTGCGTCTCGACCCCGAGATCAGGACAATCATCGACGTTCAAACGATTCTCCAGGTTATTTCGACGATTATTCGTGTGTCCAGTCGCGTCACGAATCTGCTGGGAATCGACTATCACGCTTGTGTAACCCGCCGCGGTTGGTTCCACGTGATGATGGGTATGCTTCACGGGATTATTGTTCGTGTTATGGTGCCCAGAATGCGGGGGATACGGTGGTTCGTGGTGTTGTAGGCTACCAGGAGGGTTGTATGTGTCGTTGTTGTTGAAACCGCAATTCGGATACATGATCACGCCTTCGTTCAAGCTCGAGATCGCGGGGTCAGGCATATGGTGTCGGTGCTGGGGATGACAGACGGGCGGTAGAGAGTGAAGACTCAGCGGACTCGGTAAATGATTATCCATGGCGTCCGTGCTACCGCAGGAACTCGACGAGGTCGAGTAAGGTCTCTTCTGTTGGACACTTTGGGGGCTGTGCTGCTGTTGCTGTTGTAGGCTCGTCAACGATGTCGCATGATGGAGAAGATGAGGGGGATGTTGACGTTCTTGCTGAGCATTTTGCGGGCTGTGCTGCTGTAAATTCGTCAGGGAACTGGCGTGGTGTAGTAGATGCTGATGTTGCGATTCAGGTTGCTGCTGGACCGATGCAAGAGGGTCTTGATGCATGTCTGGAATAAATATCGAAATTTCAATATTTCTGTATGGAAGGGCATCGAGGGGGTTGAAGGTGTCGAATAACGATATACGCATAGGGAAAGGTTTCTGAGTTTGGATCATCGCCTAGGTTGGACCGTTACTGTAACTTGTCGTGTTTAAGCAATTGGAGTCGTGTGATAGACAATATGATTGCATTAACTCGCTAAGTGTACAGGGTGTTCCACTTAACGTGACCACCTTCAGTATCTCATTTGTTTTTGAAGATACAACAAAATGCGAGGGGAATCTATTATTTGGTTAAAAAGAGCAAATACTATGATAAGCAACAATTTTTATCAAGTCATATTTTTCGAAATTTCAAAGTCATTGATATTTTTTAAATCATCCAATGCCCCATAATAGTGTGATATTGAGTACGAAAAAATTTACAAATGTATGAAAGTGGATTTAAATAATAAAGCAACTACGATAGAGGGATTAGTGATATGAAATGGCATATTCACGGCCCATGTCTTTAAGGGTTAATAACTTAATTTTACTCGTCTTCATACATAATATTCATTCACTGGTACGTGTTCAATTACTGGTCCTCTACAGTAGTATTGGAAATATTGAAATCTTGCGATTAAAAGTCTTCTTACCTCCGTATTGGTAAAATAAATCAGGGTTGTAGTACGATCCATCCTCGTGAGCGTTCCCGTTCACCGCATGCGTCGCGTAAGGCGACGGCAGATAATGATTGTGATTGTTTGAGCCAATGTATTCTGGATTCGGATAAGCAGTCACATCCGTGTAATGATTATCAGGGGATTCCTTGGTCCTGTTCCGATACGCGGGAGGGCTGAGGCTGTGTTTGTCCAAATCATTCGCGCCTCCGCTAGCGGTTGGTGTCTCCATGGACGTGGTGGTAGGGTTCCCAGGACTGGGGCAAGAGGATATCTGCTCGGTACTGAGCACCAAATCCTTGTACTCTCGTTCCGTTAACACGTGGTTAACGGAGACGATACAGAGGGGCCTGGAGCTTCTCGAGTTATGGACGACCGTGAAGTACGATTGCACCCACACCCATCCGCCTGATTTCGTCAGGAACCTGTAGTACTTGGTCACCACTTGGCCCTTGTTCATCACTACGAACACAGAAGAAACGAAGGTATTTAAGCATGGACAAGCATTGTCATTGGTATATATCTTATAAAAACTGGACTTGAAGAGAAATCGATTTCTGTTACACCTAGAAGGACGGAGAAAAGGACCCTTTAAATAATCAAGGGGTTCAGTGCAAGAGGGAGCTACGTCATAAAATGTTGAAAACTGATATTCTTTATTAATTCTGGCACCTCTTGGGGTCTAATTATTTTCCCTCGATTTATAACTACCTTGCAAAATTCCTGCCTGTATTAAGATTGTATATTTATATATACTACTTTTCATAAAAGCCTTAGTATTACAACGCCACTATTGTGGCTACCCCCTTGCACAGGTTCCCTAAATTTATTCCTTCTTGGCCAAGTTCTGGCTTAAACTGCGTGATATAATTTATATAATATGATACGATCCGTTTTAAAACCGTCTTATCCCGCGAGTTAAACGGAACCTTAAGTTCGAGAATAATTCAGGGACTCGGGATTCAGATCTTAGCATAGATTACAAGCAAGTGAGCCGAGTACGTGGCAAGAGAGAAAATTTTTGGGGCGTTAACGTCGATCGTGCAATCCGCAGGCGCAGACATTAGTGGCATTATGTCAGGCTCCCTTCGAGTTGCGCTCGTGAAACTGCGAGTCTGTTCAAACAGTGATAGCAGTAACAGCCTCCTCCTCTCCTGTCCCCCCTCCCCTATACCACCACCCACCCCCTCCATTGCCCTATCCGTCTATCCACCCTCGCACACACCGACACTCGTGGTGTACACGGTGGCGGAGCCTCTCTTTTACTCTCTGCTCGTAGCACCGTACCGTGGCATTGTTCAATCAATAATGTACACCCTGTATGTACTATGTATGCACATACTTAGAGTTTAACGTGTTGGCGCGCGCATTCGCGACGACGATGACGGAGGAAAAAAAAAAACAGAAGAAAAAGGGAAATGTGCTGTTGTGCTTGGGCGGTGGTGTGCTGGGCTCTTTCTCCTCTCCTCAAAAACTCGGCTACGGAGGATGAGGGAAAGGAAAGATCAAAGGATATTTCGCCCAGCGAGGGCGTCGCCGAGTTAAGCAGCGTCAGCTGCTTCTGGCCTTGCGAGAGAGCCTCTTCTTCGAGCACTCGGATACCACGTCGACGCCTCCGAGACCGCTCTCTCTCGGACGGCATCGGGGAACATAGGGCCTATTTCCGGCCGACACCTACATACCGCTTCCTCGTTAACATTATTTTTCACTCGCGAAACTCCGATCCTTTCACTTTTTTTTTTTGCAGTATATGCGACCTGAACTATTAAAGGGTGGCTGGAAAACAACTTTTCGGGAAAAGAGCCGTTGAAGTGAATATCTTCTGCTCTTGCAGTCATTAGGAAATCAGCTCTGTACTCTTGGTGCTTTTCTGATTGTAACTCGAATTTGAAGGTCAATTTTACATTTCTAACATGTACTTTTTTTTGGAAAATATTAAAGTGTTATGTAGACTCGACGGTGTGCATCGCGAGTTTTATGTTTGCTTTTGTTTTTATTCCCCGTCTTTAAGTACAAATTATGAAGCTATTGTATCAGAGATAGAGACCTGGAATTGGTAATATATTGGAAAGAGTAATATATTCTTTTCTGGAAGAGTCACTTAATACACTTGAAATCGAGATCTTGACACATTAATCACCTTTCTCAGATCACGTACTACGTAGTATACGTTTTAGATATTTGGAAATGAAAGTCTGAAATCATCAACTTTCGATTTTCCAACAGCGAAAGACGATTGTACATTCTCACAACGTAACTTATTAACGAGTTTCTCGAAGGTACTTACACACTACGTGGTTGTATTTCAGGTGAAAGCCGTCGCTAGCGTGCACGTACTGATACAGAGTCTTCTCGATCAGATCGGGAGGGTTGTATCCGGTCATTTGCGTCACCCTGTAACAATTCCCGGGCGAGGGTAAGAAAAAAAAAACATGACAACGATCGTTGGGTTTTCTCCCCCCACCATCGTTTGGTACAGAGTCAAACACAATTCCTCCTCTCGCTCATTTTTCCTCGTATTTACAAGCAGCTCCGTGGAATTCCGAGTTTACATAACCGTCATCGGTGAAATCGATTTTCCCCGGGAGCTCGCGAGCGCGGACGGTATAAAATTTCATCCCTGCGTTCCAACGCGCTCGTGGGTCCTCGTATTTATACGCCACGTGTTCATTTCCCAAGCGTGGTACACGCACGACGAGGTTACGGTACACATGATATAACCCTGTCCACGGTGGATATTTATTTGACGCGAATGTAAAAAAAAAAAAAACGAACGAAAGAGAGAGAAAGAAAGAAAGAACGTCCAACGGGTCGGTGGTAACACGAAACTGATTTTAATGGCCGGGGCGCGCGACCCTTCGTCCCTCCGGCGTCGAAATATCGACGGACGCAATTCAACACCCGCCGTCGTAATTACACCGACAGAAATAATCTAGTTCCGTTTCCATATCGATTGTCTCATTCCCCCGTTTTTTTTCTTTCGTTCTTTATCCACCACACGGGCAAATAAACGTGATTCGTGGAGGCTCTCCCGTAGGGCAAGACAACAGTTAAAGTGCATACAGTAAATTCTCGATATCTGGTCGGTGAGATCTCTACGCTAAATGCTTCCGCTTCGTTGTCACTACTTAGGGGGATTCTGTACTGGAGGATCGACCGAAAATGCAATTCATGAAGTGCAGAAATCGTGTTCCTCTGCGATAACTGCTCGAAAGGGGTCCCAAGTTTCGAGTGTTAATTGAAAATTTACTGTATGATGGATGCATCGGTAAATGAACATGTATCAGTGGATGAACATTGTATGTGAAAACGAGTAAATTACGTTATTGAAATAAGCGAATGATTAAAGAAATTGATTTTTTTCTAGTTAGAAATGTTCGTTTACTTAGTATTGTTTATTTATTGGCAAAATTAGTATTTTTATTTTTTTTAATTTAATTAATTGCATTTTTCCTATTTTTCAACTTGAAAACTATAAGTTATAAAAAGGTATAGATATTAATCATTTAAAATTCGACTATAATAGCTACAAAATCTCTTGAGTGTTCATTTATTGGTGCGTTTACGCTACCCCACCCCTACTCTTACACTCGAAAGAAGAAGTCTTCGGCGTTTCTTACCTCGTGTCGACGAATATTAGCTTCAGATCCACCGATGCACGGAACATGAACATGTTCTGGTTTAATTTCACCTCCGTTATCGAGTGTGTCGGCAAGGATTGGCCGAGCGCTACTAATACAACATTCCGAAGTTGCTTCTCGGCACCGACCTCGTACTCCGATCCGACTGGTCCTTCCAACACGCACCTCAGGTAGCCGGAGCAGTGTATCACCTGTAACGAGAGAGGACAAGGTTCAGCCAAAATGAGCTTTATCAGTTACTTTTGTTGTTTTATTAACCCTCCAAAATAAAAATAAGCTGTTTGAGGTCACTTTTGATCCATATTGAAATTTTAGATACTAAGCATCATCTGGTAACACTTCATTCGATAAGAAATATGGGTTAAAAGTGACCTGGCAAAGTTGGGCGAGAATTAACACTAGAACTACCGACGATAAACGTATATCTACTTCTATTGGGATCGATAAACATGACAAACATTTGAAATTTATTAACTAGTTTCTTCATTTATGTATATCGCAGTGACAATCGCAAAAGATCCGAGAAAATGTACTTTAATTATCCTTATAAGGGTATAACCAATCAATCATTCTGACTGCTTTGGTAGTTCAAACTGTTAACCAAAAGTTAGTCTCTTTTTCATCAAGTATAAACACAGCTTTTTAACTCTTTCAGACCTGGTGGTTACATATGTGTACATGAACTTTTTTCACAATTTCTCACAAACCCTTAGGTACAGTGTGTTGCAGACACATATTTTTCTTATAGATTTGAATTTTTTCATGTTCTGAATGTTTTCAGTATGCCTAGTAACTTCAAAGGTCAATAACATACCTTTATTCAAAAAAAAAAAAAAAAAATATATATCATCTAAACAGTCTACCGAGTAAAAATGTGTAATCAAATATATATTTTTACACTTAAAAGAACATTCAGGTCTGAAAGGGTTAATTTTTCACGGTTTCACCGATCATAATAGGAATCATTGAAATACAATCAGCGTTCGGATATCCCGTTCCTCATACCTCATTACGTAATGAAAAATCAATCGAAGACCAGAGGGACAATTAAAAGGTCGTCTTACCATGGGAGAAGGTAGGCGATAATCAAACGAAGCGTCGTGATTGAAGGGGCGTGTACACTCGACACGGCGACTTATCGTTAATTACACATGTGTGCACGCGATTATTCGGAACGTTATTTCGGAATCCTGATAGAGCATAAGTGCGACACTCGAGGAACGACGGGTTCGCCGGGGCTGAAGTGCGGATTTTCGCGTGGAACGATCCAGCCTCCCTGGGCAAATTAACAATTCCTGCTTAATTAAATGGCCGATGAAACGAAAAAAAGCCTCGTTCAGCTCACTCTCTCTCTCTCTCTCTCTTCTACCAGCCGTTGCGTCTCGAGTGCGCCATGCGAATTTGTGAAGCAAATAGGCTTATTCGTATGCCCGCGTTGCATATCCCGTCTACCGTATGCAATTCCCATGCAACGCGCGCGAGTACGGGAACACGATGAGGGTGCCGCGCGGGACCTCGTGATAAAGGATAATAATTTCGAGGGAAGGGTGCTGCTCGCGACCTACGCTCGATTTCACTCTGGAAACGGGCTCAAGAGCGACGCGCCCGCTCGTCCCGAAAAGATGGCCGAGCGAAGCTTCAGCGGCGCGGTACCATTCCATTATTTTTTCGCTGAGGAAACAAAGGATATTTAGAATCTTTCAGGCACTGTTTTGTTAACACTTTCTGCCAGACTTTAGAAGAATTTATTCGTTACTTGGCGGAAAAGGATACTAAAGAGATATGAACTATGTATATTCTATTGATTTTGCCATTGGTTTTGAAGAGGTGATTCAGAAAAAATTGAATCACACGGACACCTACTACCTTTATCAACCCTTTCGTTGGTATTGGCACCTATATTGTTGAGTTGGGCAAAATATAATCTAAATTACAGAATCCAAATCACAATTACAATGTAATTGCAAGACAATTACAAGGACATTGTAATTAATTATACTAAATTTATAATAAAATTTACAATGTAATTGTAAAATTGCAATGGAATTGTAATTGGATTACATTTTGCCTAACTCTGCTATAGGCGTTTTGAAAGTTCGTTCAGAGTATGTTCTTGGCGTCTGTAGCCGTTTAACCGATATTGTCCCCTAACAAAACTTGGTGTTTTATTCTCCATAATGACCACTAAAAAGTGCATATTATATTGCTTTTGATTTGCAGCAAAATTTATTTTAATAACAACTTCGATACGTTTTTATGCTTCAATCCCTCTATCCTAGTTATTTTATTATTTAAATCCACTCTCACACATTTGTGGATTTTTCGTACTCAAGCTCACATGAAGGTCAGACTATTATAGGTCATTGGATTTGTCTTGATCTCAACTATTATAAATATGTAGTCTCATTTAAACAAACATCGATGACCTTGAAATTTCGAAAAATATGATCTTGAGACAAATTGTTGCTTATCATAACATTTACTCCGTCTAACAAAATAATACTTGTAAATTAAATATTGAAGGTGCCTTGTTATCGTGTAGCTTGACATTTTCTGCAGTCGTTATCGCTAACGAAAAATTTGCTGTTTGTAGCATCGGTCACAATTAGTTATCTGCAGCAACCAAATGAGTTAAGGGTTCTATCAAGATCTAAAAAGAAACAGAATCATCATCGTACGTTAATAAACATTTCGCTAATTCGAACGATATCTATAAAGCCAGATTCACACAAGCAGTCACAATACGGTCAGATCACACGTTTAATCAGACAGCTTGTCTTTATCGCTCACACATAATCCAATGAGATAGATATAATTTAAATTCAGACTGATCGTGATCTAACCGTACCTTTGCCCGTCAATGTAAATCTGGCTTAATTGTTACAGATACATAAAGCCCGCGGAAACGAGCATAGCAAGTCATTTCTTCGTTTCTATTGTAATCCCCCTTACGAGTTTTAAAGTCCCTTTGTCGTTCCAAAGACGGAATCGTCGACCCGGTCTCTGTCCGTGGCACACGTGAATCCGTGTGTAAATCGACGAAACGCGTGTGCTAGCACTTCCACAAAGATAAGCCAACTACCGGTTCGGTCTTTGTGCGTCTCTAAGTGCCATACAAAAAGCTGGCTCGGTTCCCCAAGCCCCCCTGCCCCCGCCTTGGGGGCGCTCGCCTAACAGCTTACAGGGGTTGCATTCATGACTTCGCTCAACGCCTATTGGGGTCTCTTCTGTGTACGATTTTGTCGAGAGCCACGGTCATCATAGGCACTGTCGGGCTTGAACGAGCTATTTGCCAAACATTTTCCTTCTCGAGGGCTGTCTCTCCTTTTGCTCGGCAAGTGCAAAGTGTCGCACAGGTCCCTTTCGATTACCCGACACCCACCAGGATACACACCGTCCACCACCCTTTTGCGGCCTTAAGCAGCAATGACCGTCGTTATTGTTCGAGCATATGTCGAACATTTGCTCCGAACCAGCGATCCCAATCCGCAGAAACGGCCCCGGGAGAGGGGGATGGGTTTTCCCGATTTTGGTAAATCAAGCCGATGTTAACGATCGTAAATCGAGATTAGCAAGTGTCGTTGGAATCTGGAACCGGTCGTTTCGGTGGACTTAAGCGGATTGATGGAAGTAATTGGAATGACTCGTGGAATAATAATCGTCTTTGCAACCTTGCGGGCTCACCGATTCGAGGAGGAAATGAATTTGTACCAGGCTGCTCGAATAATTAACGATGGATTTTCTTTTATTCGCGATATTGGTACAAGGCTGAATTGGACATATGTTTATGATGCTTCTTTTAGGGTACCTTCTATGTCACGTTTTATTCGAGGATCTATTCTGATGAAACGATTTGGTATATAATTAACGAGTGTTAATTGAACGAAACCATTATTTGTTTTATGAAATCATTCGAGGATAAAGGGATATTTGAAATGCAGGGACATTGCAATTCGAGCAAATCAAAGGGCATAATAGAATACGCAAAAATAAAAGTTTCCTCAAAAAGAAGTGTTTTGTAAATCGGTTAAAAATGAATTTCGGATATGAGACACAACAGTGGCCAATGTTTTTATTGCACCAGAAAGGATGCAACGGAGTGAATTTGAGCAGCGCGCATCTACCTGGTGGCCGTATTCTTTTCGAGTCGCGCGTGACCAGGACAATGCCGTCCCTACTTAGCTCGCCGTTCCTTATCTTTTATTTAGCATTTGAATTTTTATTCGTTTTATGATTTCCTGTGCAAGCAGCCCGGGCGTTATGCTAATCATCGATCGGCTTTTCTCTTCCGGTCCATCCGGGGATGCCTTTAACAGGCTTGTTTGCCACGGATATTGTGCAATTCACGAATGCCAATAAACCCATAATTGGTCGCATATTTTCATTTTGGCGGATAACCGGGCGTCGTTTCTTTATAAGTATAGAAAGTATGTAATTATTCATTCTTATTTTTTTTCTATACAAAAGTATATATTTAATTACTTTAACGTCGATTCAAGCACCCCTGTTGAGAGTGATCCGAAGAGGAGTGTCTAATAATTATGATATTTATCCATTTATAATGCCTTAAAGCTTTGAAAATTCAATATAATCAAGGTTCTAGTAAAATTTAATATTATTTATGTGGTATTGTTAACGCAGCTAAGTACAAAATTCAAAATTCTGTCCCATTTTAATTTTTATATATTGGCATTTGAAATTGTGAATTTGCATAAACTTCTGCTGTCTACTAATAATCCACGAAAAAACTTAGTTGCTAATACTAAAACTACCAGCGTTGTAGCGTGCATAGTCTATTACAAAATATATAAACGCATATTTGCTTCGATCGGTGGATGAACGTGAAAAACTTTTGAAAATTTAGAAATTTAGAAATTACCTAATTTCTTCATTTTCATATCATCATAAACGGTGCAAAAGATCTGAGAAAATGAGATATTGACATTTTTACTTGCTTGGTAGTTCTAGTGTTAATTCTACGATTACCGCGAAAAACTTGGAAAATTATGAATGGCCGTAATCTTTTGGCCAGGGATTGTATGTTTAACCACGATGATTTTCGATCTGGAGTTCTGAAATGTTCAGTGTGCCCGTGATTTCGTTACGTTACCTTGTATCCTTCCGTGACTAGGCCTGCGTTCCTCTTCGCCAGGATGCATTTCATCCTCAGAGTGAAGGCACGTTCCAGGTCGATCTCGCCTCGCGAGTTCGGCGGCGGTAAAGTGAAGCCCGACAGTCCCACTGGGCCCTGCGGAAGCGACAAAACCGAAGCCAGCTCTTTGTGGTCATCAGGATAGATGTACTCGAGAATGTTGTTCCCCGTTAACTCCACCTGCACCAATCAACATTTTCCGTCAGTGGATTCCGGATTCGCATGAAATATCATTAACATCGAGTCTGTATATGCGTCAGTGATTATGAAAGTGGCCGTGAGTCGTGTATTTTTACGTTTCGAAAATACTTTCATAATATTGAAATATAAATCGATGCAATCATAATAAGGAAAAAATTCAATATTTTAGGTTTTTTTCAGTTACACCAGTTTCACAATCACTACAGGCATATATAACTGCTTTTGATTTTGTCACTTACAGATACGACAATTCACGCGTGTATATTCGACCCATAGATTTTATTAAATGAACATTCATTCCAGGAAACTGTCCTTGCGAATACTATTCAAATATTCTAATGAACAGCTGACAAACACGAAATGTATTAGGCGCACCAATAAGTAGTCCACCAATTTTTGTGAATTCTTTGTATTAGTTTCGATATGATGCAAATATCTACTCTATTTTAATAATATTCATTATTTGTTCCCATCGTCATGAGTCGTTTTGACTAAACAGAAAATTTGTGAGATATTCTGAATATTAAATGTATTTTCACTGTATTGGAACTATAGTGAATCACTTATTGATACAGCTAATAATTCTGAGCATAAGGCTTTCTAATATAATTAAACTCTTGCGTAACATACACTGCTCAGCCAAACGTTTGGAATCACCTGTCGATTTTTATTAAATATACATTCCACGACAGATTTCTTTTTAAATGATCGTAGTTTTTTTATCTGTTCGTTTAATACGAGCGATTCGGAATTTTTCAGCGAGCAATGTATTTTTACCAGGAATTCTTTCCATCGGCTCTTTTCAGACGGAACATAATCGACGAAAGCTCGATAAGATATTTTTTCGATGTTACGAGGATAGGAAACGAAAATGCATGTTTTTATATATTTCCTCATCTGAAAAGACCCGATCTGGTGCACTGATGTGAAATTAATGATTACTTATTCAATGAATGAAGGGATATCTCCGACCTGCGCTAGTCCCAAGTGCGTGCTGGCCGTTTCGCTTATGTACATAATTTTCCCGTCGGGCGCCACGACGAATATGAAACCGTCCAGGGTCTGAAACGAGAAACCGCTCGATCAGGACCGATTGCTGAAAATAATTTTGTATTGTGCCTCTATGGCCATTTTTCACACATAGCCGAATCAACCACTGGACCGTCGACCATTATAAACATCGTTGGTCGTATCAAACATCATAATGAACGTATTCACTAACGTGTGGTTCATATATACAACTTAAAACAATTGTCCGAGAATTTCTTTATGAATTTATAAAGTGCAAGAATTAAATGCTTCGGTATATTTCTCATGGATACTGATCGTATATTTAATATGTCAACTTTCATCCATCCCTTGTGTCAATTTGGTACATTTATCTCTTGAGAAATAATGTGATTCTGTTATGTGTAGGTAAATTTAACCGAGCCTTTGTGATTTTTATTTTAAAGAATTTGCTAATTTGACTATGTATCTTCTTATTATATTAATTTTTTATCTCTGTGTCAATTTGACATCGAAAGACAAATGAAGTTGGGAAAATGAGGGACGGATGAGGGGTAGTTTTTAAATTCCAAAAATACAGTGAATGTTGCATTTTTTTTTCTCTAAAGTGGCACATGTAATTCGATGTAGTAATTCACGTGTTGGCGCGACATAGAGAACGATGAGTACTTACTTGCAATATATGACTGCCGAGCTCCTTGATGGCAGTTTCCAGGGGGTTGATGGGTGGCGGGACGGCGCCCCATTCGTCTCCAAAACCTGAAACATTATTTCGCCGCGGTGAGACTTTTGGTTGCGAATACGGTGAACCAATCTTCGGGAGTGCAACCGGAAAAAAACTGTACATAATTTATGTCTATCCGCAAACATTGTTCTCAACCGGCCCTTTTCTAACCTTCACAAACGTTCATCTCTTGAAATTCAAACGAAAGTCTCAATTATTTATCCCATGCAATGAAAAATCTTTAATTTTATAAACTGTATACATATAAACAGAAGTAGACAAATGAACAAGTTTTTATGAATTATAGAAATCTTTTTCGATGACGTCATCATTCACTGACAATATTCTCACATCTTCATGAATTTCGGAATTTTCGTAAATTTTGTCTTCTATTTTTGATCGAGATTGACGGGAGTATGCGGAGAACAATAAGACATGGAACAAATTTTCCATGGTTAATACTAAATAAATATAGATCTTTTTTGAAAAAAAAAGAAACTTCTTTTTTGAACATTTGAGCATTGAACATTGAAATTTTGAGGTATGTAATGTTAATTACTATTTGAGTTATTAATAACTACTCTTACAGAATCAGTCCCGTTAATTTTTTAGACACACCGTACACCATATTACGAATAAAACGGAGAAATTTCGCGCGGGGTATCAAGCTCCGAAAGAAAATTGTCTTGTCTGGAGGGCATGGCACACATTGTAACACGCGTCTCCTTATCCCGATGATCCAATATACATGTTTCCAGCGGTGTTTCATACTCAACGTGTAACTAAGCCTATAGCCAAGTATTCCGTGTCCGCGCATTAATTACAATACACCTCTACGCGCGCGTGTGCAGGCTATAGGGGCGTGTTTTCTGCAGCCGTCGCGGAATTTCCGCGGAAAATGGCTTGATCATTGTGTACCACCGTGCAGCGCGCAGCTATTCCGTTAAATTTTATCAGATATATAGTGGTTATCGACGCCCACGCTGCTAATAGATACGACGGGATCGTGATTGCATAATAATCGTTCGATTAGCACGCCGCGATAGGACATCTATCATTTCGCGTTGCAATTACATCCAGGGAATCGTCGAGTACACAAATTCCAATTGTTACGAGTACTCGTGGTTTTCTGTTTATTCGTTGCATTACCTTCTGAACGAAGTGTATTTTAATTTTGCAGTAAGGTAACTATTAATTAATAACTCTACTTTCCTGTTTTACAATTGACAAGAATTTTTTTTCTTATAAGCAATCCATTTCGTAACAATGTATAGGAAACAGTATTTTTTTATATTTTCATGGAATCTGAATAGTTTTGAACGCTTGAACGAAGATAAAATGATAAGTCTATTTGGGTAATCTGATCGATAGAAGTGTGGTAATTATTTTGTGACGGTGATTCGATATTCATGTTTAATCGATACGTCGAAAGAATTACTTCACGCCCGTTTATCTGTATTCTGCCACATACAGAAATATTTTTTCATACACAATTCAGTTCATAACAATGTATAGGAAATACTTTTTTTATATTTCCAGGAAATCTGTATAGTTTTGAAACTCGAAGATAAAAGGATATTTCCACATTGTGATAATCCGATCGATACAAGTGTGTTAATTATTTTTGTGACGGTGATTTGATATTCGTGGTTTGTTCGATACGTCGAAAGAATTTCACGCCCGTTTACCTGTACCCCGCCCACCGTTAATTTTCCACCCGGGGAGGAAAAGACGCCCCTAAAAGGGTCGCGGCGAGGCGAGGGCGCCGCGTCTCTTTTTCGTTCCTTCCTTTTTTCAACAAAAAGAAGAATAAAGAGACGCGGCCGTATTCTAGAGGGATGCAGCCACTTGAAATTCAATTCACCGATGTCGTAAGAAGGGCGGCGAGACGAGGAGAAGCTATTGTAACACTATAACAGCCCCCATGCTTTGCTTACAAAGCACCGGGGGCTAACAATGCATTAAGTGCGCAATCACATCCATCTCATCCGATACTATTTGCCCTTTGCGCGTAAGTGTCCGGTGCCTGAATTAATAAAGAATACCGTTTCATCCGTTTACCGCTAAGTGAAGTTTATTGCCGGCACGTGGGTTCCGTCGCACGCCGCCCGTTCCTCCTGTTCGTTCGCGTGGAAAATCAATCGATTTGTTTCTTGTTGTCTGGGCGGTTTACCAAGGGGTGTTCAATTAATGGGGAAAAAAGGGGGACTCCCTGCTATTAATTTTCTTTACAGAATATCGATTTCACCATTTCAGCGAATCGACTTGTTATTTACGTTTTCTCAGCACGGGTGGTTATTTTTATGATTATGTTACCGTTACTTCGTTAAAGCTAAAGAAACCTCTTCGTTTATAGCGTTTATTACTTTTTTCTTGCATTAAAAAGAGAAAGTTTCTATTATCCGTTCCTTTATGGAGTTTAGCCAGAATCACTAAAATGTGTTCTATTAGGAAGTGATTGTTTTAGCTGATTCTACTTAACCCTTTCGTTCCCACTGTAGCCTACGTATTACAAATGACGAAATAAAATATTAGTATCGTGTTTTTTTTAATATCTGTTAGTATATAATAGTTTCTTCTAATCTTGTATAGACGACAGGACGTAAATTTTAATATACATTTAAAAGTTTCTCGGTTAAATAAGACATTAGTTTTCTTAAGTCCAATAAAAACTTATAATGTATACATGAAAAATATCCTTTTTCTTAATTTTTAGATGATTTAAGAATGAAAGGGTTAACACGTTCTTGAATGTTCGGTCATCCATCGCAGAAGTGAATAATGGAATTGTTATTACATTGAAATGGAAACGTTACATACAAATACAAACAAAAGTATTCTTTCTCATAATTGTTAGATAATTTGAAAATGAAAGAGTTAATGCGTTCATAGATTTTCGAACATCCTTTGAAGAAGTGAATAATGAATTTGTTACCGTGTGGAAACGCTAGATGGAAATACAAAAAAAGAGTTATTCTTTTTCGTAATTGTTAGATAATGTGAGAATGAAAGAGTTAATACGTTCATGAGTTTTCGAACATTCTTCGGAAAAGTGAATAATGAATTTGTTACCGTGTGGAAACGCCGCTCGTATCTTCAAGTAACTGGTCGTCAATCGAATAATGCTGGCCTTATCCAGTTGCGTGGTGATCGCTATCGGAAGCGGCAACAGCATCGCGAGCTCATAAAATTCTCGATTCTCGTTCTCGCGCCGCCAACGGGCCGCATTCTTGCTTTTCTCCTTCATCACGACTTCCTGCGGGCCGGACGCGGTGTGGATCGAGTTGTTGTTGAGGCGATGATTGTGCGAGCTCAGATCTAGAGTGTCCGAAGTTGACAGGCTGCTGCCTGAAAGAAACAGAAAACCAAGCGAAACGTTAAAAAAATAAATAAGAAACTAAACCACCAACTTAGCGTCGATATATCCAAGTTTGACTTCACTTCTGGTTCGCGCCCTTTAATTTAACGAGACGAAAGAGAAGGAGAGGATTAGGAGTGTCCTACAAAAAAAGGGACGGTAACACGAGAACTCACTAATTGCTTCTTCAGTTGTCTACCAGTTGGGACTCTTCGAAAGTAGGACACGGTCCTGCCACATTAACACCTATACCACTTACAACATTTTTTTTCTTCTGTCTTGCCTTCTTAACATTGATAACCCTCTCGATTACGATCCTGCCTGAATTTAATTCAACGACTATTTACTACGTACAATAGATAGGGGTTTGGAAATGAACCTTTTCATGATTTTTACTGAGTTGTAAAAAGAAAAAATTTAATTGTTTTCTATTGTACACATAACACAAACAATGATTTGCTGATTCAAGTGGACGTAACGAATAAAATTCATGTGTATAGGAACATTCGAAGGGCAATCTTCGTCACGAGTGTAATTCGTTATCTTCAAGCTAGTGTTCGATCGTGTGCAAACAATATATACAGGAATTTAAAAAGAAAAAACAAAAAAGGAACGATTTCGCGCGCGATGTCGTATCGAAATAAATTTAACGAGCAACGTTGCTAATATCGCAATCGATGGCAGAGCGTCGAAAAGGGAGCAAACCGTCATTAAAACGCCCGGCAAGAGAGCAACCTAACGACGTAGCTACCCATCTACCGAGACTTCTCACGGATGGAAATTCGCTTGAATAATGCATTTTTTTCCTGCTCCGTCGTTTCAGCCAACCGATTCCTAGCGACTCGTTCACGGAACCATTCCACGAGGCAAACGAGAAGATTCTTCACTTTCGAGTAAATTATATTCGATCTTTGTTCGAGAGTCGAACAAAAAAAAAAGAAGAAAAATGGTGTTTCGTAAACTTTTGTATCAAGCAAAAGTTGCCTGATCGTAGATTACACCCGACCAGAACTTGGGGGTCTCTTGGTTTTAATTTGCTTCTAGCCATACGGTGGCGGTAAGAATGGGAACTAAAGAACATGGAGAACCGGTACAAGACTTCGTGGTGTTATTGAAGCGATACCCAGAACCTCTTTACAAACGTTAACACGCGTGACGTCGTACGGATCGCTCGGTTACATCTATTTTCGATATTCCAAGAATGCACACTGAAAAAGTTCGTTTGTTCTCCGCCTATACAAAAGAAGTCCCGTGAAACTTTCTACAGTCTCGTGACTGCATACGGAACAGGTCCAAGAAAATCATGAGCGTACAATAGAATCGGACACACGATCGGAAAAAGTATTTTCGTACTGTGCGTGCAGAAGTTTTCCAACTCAACATTCGTGATTCCGGTATAAACAAACATCGAACTACACATCCTAGAAAAAGTACCGTGAAAATATCCGCGAATCGACGCACACTGTCAGAAAAGAAAAATTCTGGTACCTTTCTGTGCCTGTTTGCGCCTCCAGCTACCGATATAAGGATCACTTCCTAAAATAATCGTACGACCATGATTCTCGACCATGGGCGCCATCTTCTATCTCGTGGTTGGACGCGCTCGAATTCGATCCAGCGAGCCCGCGATTATCATATGCCGATGAAACCTCGACGACACTTTGGTTACACCAGGCAAAACACACCGTTATCCACGTAACATATTTTTTCCTCTTCGATCACGTGTCTTTAACCATCGAAACTGTTCACGGAGTCTTCGTCGAGGTACACTTCTCTCAGATCTCGCGCGCACACGTCATCCCATCGGACGATCAGTCACCAAGCGGAACACCAGTCGACTTCCGGAAACGTGGATGCGGACATAAAACCATATATAGGTGTGTGTATGTAATCTCGAGATTTCGATTCCTGTCACGACCTTGAGAATCGACCGAGTTGGAACCTTGGAACCAGCAAGAAGCACACGTATACGTACACACAGAACGACCGGTGTCTGTCGCACTTAAATTACGACTAGTGCAACGGCGCACGATGCTCTAACGCTTCGGGGGTAGACACCTCGTGTCAGGGGTTTTCGGTCGTTCTCTCTGTTTCGTTCTGGCGGCGGTGTCGTCTCCTCCTACCCACGGTTATTCCTTCGCTTCCATCTCATCCCCCCAATGCTGGTTTCCCGATGGGGTAGGTGAGCGGCTGGTGGAGGTACCACCCTTATTTTAAGCTCCACCCTTGGAGCAGGGTCAGTCGAAAGACCCCTCTGACACACTCACGTGCAAACTGTCTGTCTGTGTGAGCTTCCTCGTCCCTGAACACCCGACACGTAGAAAGAGAGAAAAGGAGAATTGTGAGAAGAAGGATAGGTTGACGGGGTTTGCGGGAAACGAGAAAGTAGTCTAAGGACGAAGGAGACAGAGAACCCAGTGTAGTATACTCCCGCTAAGGCTGGCTGGGGAAAGCCCAAGTGATCCGAATGACGGTCGTGCCGGACCGGTCGTATACAACGTGTCGGCGGGTGGCCAAAATCGAAAGCAAGGGCGATTGCTGGTGGCTCTACTGTTCCCGTTGACGAGCCACCATAGGATAATACTATAGCCTTCCTCCTCTCTTCCCCTCTTCTATACCTCCTATCCCCGTCGGTTTTCGCGGCCGTAGTTAGTTTACCGCCGCACGGCCAATGGCACTGGGCTCTCGAAGCCTGGGAATTTTCGAACTCCTCGGAACTCGAACCCTCGAAACTTTTGCGTTCGTTGGGTGACAGCAGGGTGGCGGGCTTGATAATTGCCGAAAGGGTTGCTTCTCATTACGTAACCCGATTTATTTCTCCTCCCCAAACGTCAATCGGGGATTGTTCTTGGAGACTTTATCAAGATATAATACTCTCTATCCGCTGTCTTTCGAGTTTCTTTTTAGGAAATATTTCCACTTTTGTGGTATGTTTTTGTAAAAGAAGGAATTCACGTGTTGATTGTCACGTTGGTCAGATAGAAGTATCACAAATTTAGGATTTTGAAAGGAGTGAGATGATACATGTATAGGCTCTTTTCAAAGTGTGCGATGAATAGGAGATGATATTCAATGTACGGAAGAAAAATTTCTTTCTTTCACCAAAGGTTTCGAGAAGATGAAAGTGGCCATTCCCAAATCTATAAAGCAAGGACGCTTTAATGCATGTTGATTTGATTATTTGAAAATGTATTTCTTTGTTATTTCGTCCTGTTTTTAAATGTCGTAAAGCAAATTCGTTGGCACTTATCAGTTTCGGAAATAATGGTTTTAGAAAACCATCTTTTGGAAATCATAATAGAGTTAAAGGGTACTTTAGACATAATTATGTAAAAAATATTACAGAATTCTATAAGAAATTCCATGTCCAGGCTAAGTCAAGAATAATGACCGCTCGTAACGAAAACTTGACGAACTCTCGAAAACGATTTAGAGTTATGAATAGATCGCGGATGTTTATACAAATTGTATAGTTTTTTGTAGACTAGTTCACGGAAATTGGAATGCAAGGAGGATTTCTTCTTACTATAAATGGTTCTCTGAGGTCCTAAATGAACTAAAAACCTAATTCATTTTTGTTCCAAGTAGCTACATCTTACAGTGGTTACTCTTTCAACGAAAAGGATCTCCCTTCAATATGACACCCGATTTAGTTTAAGAAAATCGGAATCCAGGAAGAACGCCTCCTCATTATTAAAGTTTCTATAAGGTCCAAAGTACCGAAACTAAAATCCTTATTAATTTCTTATACAATTACAAGGTACAGCTTAATCGTTTCTCCAATAAATGGCATCCGTAGTCTAGTTACGAACGAGAACTATCTTCTTCGATTTCACATCTGGTCAACCATGGACAGTCTCGTTTCCGGTATCCTCGCGGAGACCTGCAATGCACGAGGCGCGAGCAAACCTCGGCGAATTGTCGGGTACAAGGTTTTGAACCTGCCTTTTACGACCCCGAGGGCTGTATAACCACCTTGCTGCGCACCTTTTTCGCCAGAAGCAAAGTGCATCCCCGAAATCGGAAACATGTGTTGCCAATATGTTCCGGAAAGGACGGAAGGAATGAACCTGCGCTCCGTGTTGTCCCCTCGGAGTCGCTTCTCCGTTCGGGAACAATGTCCACGACCATTCGAACACGTGTTTCCACTGCTCCCGGCGTTACCTTTCCTTCTCCCCCCCCCCCTTTCCCGCCAGTCCTGGCAGTATTCTTCGTTAAACACTTTCTATACGCCCTGGCCCGGGTCGACAGGTAGAAAAGATCTAATACGAAACATGTGTTTCTGCCTCCCCTGTCTTCTTCGTCCATCCTCGCACCTTTACCAGAGGGGGCTAAGACGCGACATAACGGTCCCGAGATGACCCCCGGGAAGGTTTGCTTGCGAACCCACGCGCGACCGTGGTTGCACCTTCGCTTCGGCCAGGATTATCCAGATGTCGAGAAAAAGCGCCTTGAAAAGGGACCGAAAACATATAATTCCGGGTCATCGAGTTTGGCGAACTTTTTTCTGGTTTACGTCGGAAGATTGGGTGTAATTATTTTCGAGGAAAATAACCACGAAATATATTAGATAACCAAGATAGTGCGCGTCGTTTTAATGAATAGAGGTAATTGGTACACAATGCGGATCGAAGAATACTTCGGAAATATTGTCACCTTTGGCCTCTATTACCCTTTCCCAATGATTTAACAACCTTTCTATTCATTTCTTATGAAAGTTTTCTTTTCTGGTATCAAAATAGTACTTTAACTTACTGTTTAAAGTCTTGTCGATTTTGAAATATCTGATTTCGTAAATGGCTGTCTATTGCCATGGAAAAAATGATATTCCGAAGGTGCGATTTCTGGGGAATGTGGGAGATGATCCAATTGACCCTCCAATCTAAATTCATAAAGCAAACAAG